AAAAAAAAAACCAAGAAATCATCCAAGCATGAGATTCTCTGCATCACCGTTTTGCTCTTAGTCAATTTAAATTTTTTCTTTTTTATAAGTATTATTCTTTTCACATGTTTGTTTATGATCTATTCAATTTGTTAGTTATACTTTGCTTCCTTTTATCCTCAATATCTTACCTCAAATAACATTTCGAGTTTGTTCTATGAACGTTTTGACATTTTTCTTGCTAGTGCTATACAAAGGATAGAAAAAAAAAAAAAAAAAAAAAAAAAAAAAAAAACGTTTATTATTGATATAGCCATACTCGCAAACTAGCGCTGACAGCTCGACCGGGCAGTAAGTCGAGTGGTCTAAGACGTTTCGGGTTATGCATGCCATTGGAAGGATCGTTACTCGAGGTCTTTAAGTTGGTCTACGGATAGTGACTTAAGAGCTTCGAGTCAACTTGCGATATCGGCTGATGAGACGGACTTGAAGGGAGAGCACATAATAGCTCGATATCAACAAGTAGACGAGCAACCTAAGGACGATCTAGGAGCGACTTGTGAGGAAAGCGGGCATGAGGATAACAGCTTCTACTTATCAATATGAGCCGCAGTCGGTTTTATGTATCTCGAGGTCGACTTCACATGTCTCATTTCTCGAGTCGACCTTATTTGTCTCGCTACTCGAGATTCGCATCTAGGGACCATATCTCGATACTTATCATGCTTAACGAATAAAGATGAATCTTTATAGGATAAAATTAAATCTTAAGCTGACAAGGATCTGACTAAGAAGTGATTACGATAATGATAAGCATCAAGGATCGGGGCAGCTAGGCAGGCTGACCGCGAGCACTCAGGCAGGGCACTCCGGGCAGGTATTTTCCTATAAAAGGGGTTGAGATACCACCATTTCACAACTTTACACCCTATATATTTTTCATACTGTTGTTCTTAGAGAGCATCTCTCCCTCTTCCTAAGCATAGGAGGCTCTTCGTCGGAAACCCATACGCGCGTTGAGTTCTTGTAGGCGTTCGTGACGATCCGAACGCGGTTCAGACATATCGAACCTTATTTAGACCAGTTCAATTCAGATCTAGGAAAAGACCCTTCAATTATAAAAATATTTGCAATATGAATATTAGACTAAAAAAATATCAACAACAAATTTAAAAAAGTATAGTTTAATCCTATACTTCTAATACAATGTCACTTTTATCAACGTCACAAGTCTTAATACCGATACTTGATAAATTATCGATGGACGATTCTGACCTCGTGGTACTAGGGTTCCACCATAACCTCGTTTCGAAGATAAATCTAAAAATCCAAAAAAAAAAATGAATAAATAAATAAAAAAAAGTTCACCGAATCGATTAATCAAGAGCCTCATTTTTGCAGGCTTGTTCAATACAGTACTTAAATGATATCTCAAGTATACATATCACTCACTTACACTTACATAGGGTTGTAAGTGAGCGATAAATCGAGCTCGAGCTCAACTCGTTTGTCAATATTAATGAGTCGAGTTTGAGCCTGTTATTCAACGTGTTTCGAATTACAACGGGAACCTATGAACTGACTGAAGTGTTCCGTTCGTACAAAAGAACTATAACAAAAAAAAAAAATTAAATTACACTCGAACGCGGAGAGATTTGAGCCGAGGCGATTGAAATCTATCCGCAAGACAAATACGCCCCGTGTAGTGCTGACGGGTCAGTGCGTAATGTCCCCAAAGATACAACGGCTAAACACTCGGAAGCTGTAGCACACCAGCCTTCAGAGTTCAGGCGAACGGAACTGAAGTCGAGAACTGAGCACTTTTGATATGATGCGTGAGGCTTTGAGAGTATACAGAATGCATGTAATGTTGTGTGTATCTCACTTGAGGCTGAGATAAATGGCACCATTAACATCAAAACGTTTCAGGTGTTAAAACCCCATTAACCAGGAGGAGTTAATACCATTAACACCATTAACCCTTCATCACCTGAGATGTTACATTTCACATGAAGAGTCATGTGTCCAGGTTCATTGTACTGGAGAGGTTTCACTTGGGTTGGGTCAAAACCTGAGTCCAAATCCAACTAGAATTGGATTTTTAATTGGGCCTAAAGTTGCAAATAAATTTGCAGCAAAAAGATATATAGTGATTGGGCCCAAGCCTCAAGCCCAACCGCCCAAAGCTGCCCAAGTCCAGCCCAAAGTCCAATTGCCAAGAACCAAGGCCCAAGGCCCACGTCCCAGGTCCCGGGTCCCAGGTCCCGGGCCCGGGCCGGGGCCCGTGCCCGAGCCCGAGCTCGAGCCTGAGCCAGTCGACTGGCCGGCGGGCGGGCGTGCGCGCATGTGGCCGAAAACAACACCAACACTTGGTGCATAGCTTTGTGCTTGTTGTAACCTCTCCAACTCTCTTTATTATAATAAAGAGAGTTAAACTCATTTAAGAGTCCAATGCGGGATTGACTCTTGACCCTTCAAATCCCACAACCAACGTTTTACGTGCCCTTTTATGGCTAACTTTAACAATTTATTTCTCACTCACCGAAAATCAGTTTTGAGAAAATAAATATACCACGAGTATCTACTCGGAACGTAGAATTTTTCTACAATATTTTATTCAACTAAAATTAAATATTTAGCCATCAAAAAATCAGTGAAAATCTGGTCAAACCCATATTTTATAACTTATTTTTCCAACAATCCCCCACATGAGTGGAAATCAAATGTATGCATGTATGCAGACTCTTGTGCTCAATCCTCACAAGACTCTATTTAATCAGAAGAGGTAGCTTGTGGCTTTGAATCTTTCTTAGTAAACATCATCGGATGTACTGGCGGCTTAGTGGACATAGCGCCTTGAACTATTCCTCCATAGTGTACACCAAGACAATGACATTCACACAATAGAGCCTTAACTCCATTCCATTCTATTGTTGTGTCCGTTTTGGCCATGGACAACACTTTGGATTCATAAGTGTTTACAATTGAAGCGGCCCTCACTTCACACTTATATAGGTGACCTCCCTGTCAAGAGTATCCTGTATTACTCCACCTTTAAAAGGTTAGGGATTCATTATAAGTCCATAAGACTTACCCTCACCACAATCAACAGATAATCTTGCACTTGGATTGCTTTAGGGAATAGATTTGGACATTCTAATGTTCTAAGTGCTTAGCTGAATTTTCATATTTTAGTTTTCCCCTTGAACCAAGTTTATGGGATCTCCATTCAGCAAGGTAGGGTTACCACTATGATCATTCTTTTCATTGTGGATTTTTAATCCCATTCCCTCTAGCAGTATTCCCAATTGATCTCTATTCAATCCTTTAGTAAAAGGATCAGCCAAATTTTGCTTAGACTTTACGTATTCAATGAAAATAATACCATTTGTGATCAATTGGCGAAC